AAAGGGCGGAGGATCTCCCTCCTGCTGCTGCTGCTTTTGAAAGTAATATATCTTATTTTGGAGGATATATCATTTTGCAAATGTAATATTATGCACCTTATTTTATATTCTTTTGCAAACATAATATTTTGTGCAGTATTTTGCAAAGTTAATCTTATGCATAATTTTATTACAGTGTTTTGTAAACATATTTTTCCCAATGCACTATATTCTTTTGCAAACACATTCTTTCACACAACATATTATATTGTTTTGGAAATATGATATTTCCGCAAAATATTTATTCTTTTGCAAATGTAACTTTGCACCATGTATTATATTATTGAACAGGAGTCTGGTGTAATGGATAGAGTGATACCCTAGGCCTTTAGGTGACAGAGTTCAAATTCTGCCTCAGCCAAGGGAAGATTGGGGGACGGTGGTGGAACTGGTAAAAGCACTCTTTTATTATCTCACTTACTTTGAAATCCCTTTTAGAGTCTCTATAAGTCAATTCTGACTTGACAGCACAAAACAGCCAGGTGAGATTATTTGCAAAATATGACCCCCATTCAGGATGACTTGGAAGCAGGTCAAGGTCTCTGCCCCCATGGAGCCTACAGAAAGAAGTTCTGGCCACTGGGACCGGGGTCTGTGTGTCTGGGCAGGCAAGGTGGACTTTATTGACTAGGGTCTATGCATATTTGTTATTATTCATGCTGTATTTTTCTCTCTCTCTCAGTTGCCTTTACTTACAGAGTAGTGGTGGAGGAGGAAGAAATAAAATGCATGAACAGGAGAGGGTCACACGGTGAGTCCCCTCTCTGGAGACCCTGAAGGAGAGGCCCACTCCGGAGGGCCGGCAGGCGGGCTCTCTCCACCTCCTGGAAGAGAGACACCCCCCCTCCCTCCCCATGGGCAAAGCTTTGCCGGCTGCTGCAGGCCAGCCTCAAGGGGCGGGTGGAGGAGAAGGTTAACCCAGAGCAGATGTGAGGGCTGGCTTGGCCGGGGGCCCGTTTTCTGGCGACAGCCGACTCCTTCTGCGCTCCAGATTAATTAGGAAGCAAGCTGGGGGGGGTGGCGGTGGGGGCCCCCCAGTCGGATCTGATTCCCCCTTCACCTTGGGACGGGAGGAGAGGAGGGTGTGCGATTGGAACCATTCCCCCCACCCGGGTTCTCAAAAGCCTTTGAAGTTATTCTTTAAAAGTAACTGGCCAAGACTGTTTCTTGCATTGATGAAAGAACTGTTGGTTCCTCCTTGTTTGCTACATTGTTTTGGAATGTCCTGGGATTATGCCTTCACTTCCCTCCAAGAGTAACTAGTGGCAGGTAACTAGTTATGTGTGTGTGTGTGGACAGCTCAGGGGTTTATGTCTTCAGCCGGTTGGGAGTTCGAATCCCTCACTGGGCCTCTTTGACAGGGGCTGGACTGGAGAGGGTCTCCTCCAGCTCTGCAATTCTTGTTCCCTGTTCTGTGATCGACTAACAAAGCCTACCCCGCTGGGGTAGAGTCTTATGGGGTGGTTAATACCCTAACTACTGTTAGCATCACTGGTAAATCTACTCCTCAAATATCTGACCTAACTTGAAAAGCCTACTCAGGTTGCTTTATGTTCCGTGCAACTTGCACACACATTTTTTAAAAAAAGCTCTCTGTCCTCTCTGGATAACCCAGACGTTTGCATAGTTTGTGAATTTCTACATGACCCTCCATATTTTGGGGGTTCTGTTTTGCTCCTGAGAATAAACATAGTCTTTATTCCCCAAGCTTACCCTCAAATAAAGTAACTTTTTAATGGCTAATTGGAATCTCGAATCCAGGCCTTGGGAAGCATGGCCCAGCCCTCTCCTTTGTCTGCGTCTCACACTGACTGGTTTCCACAGATAGAGCTTCATCCCGAACGTGTCTGGGCGAACAGAGGGGCTCGCCTGAACCCCTCTCCCACTATTCTGGGTGGCTTTTTCGCAGGCAGAAAGTTCTGTGGGGCAGAGAGGCCTCTGGCCCCTTTGAATTTCTGCCTGTGGCACAGCCGTCCAAAGCCTCCGGAGCACAGCCAGAAACAGAGATGGGGGGAAAAAAATTGGCAGTCTCTCTGGAGAAGAAGAAAATAAAATCTTATTTGCACAAGGGAGGGATTTAAATGGGAAGGCGTGCCAGCTGTGTGGCGTAGCCGGTTTGCAGGGTTTGTTTTTTTCCTGCTGGGCCTCAGCTTTGGGCGTGCGCCTGTCTGTTGGCGCTCAGCTCCCCGCTGAATCACCAGCTTGGCTCTCCCCGGCTTGGGCGGAGGAGGAGGAGAGGAGGGCCGGGCCATGCATTGGGCATTCAGGAGTAGCTGGAGGGGGGGCCAGGGAGGACTTGGAGGCCTCTGAATCCTAGAAGGGCAGAGCTGGAAGGGGCCCTCAAGATCATCCAGTCCAGCTCCCTGTCAAGGAGGCCCCGTGGGGGATTCAAACTCCCCACCTCGGGCTCCACAGCCAGAGATCCAAACCCCTGAGCTCTCCAGCTAGCTAAATTATTGGTCCCTAATTTGGACGTTTCACATCATCAACACCTTAAAACTGCAGAACTAGAAGGGACCCCTAAGGATCATCCAGTCCAGCCCCCTGTCAAGGAGGCACCCTGAGGAATTGAACTCCCAACCCTTCCGTTCTGCAGCCAGAGACCCTAAACCACTATTCCAGGCACCTCAGTTACTGAATCCTAATTTGGATGTTGCATATCATCGTTGTTGTCTTAGAATTTAGGGTTCTCAGTCCTGAGAAGCACAAGAGCCCCAGCCCAAGGTGGAGTTGGCAACTGGAGCGTGCTGGCAGAGGGTGTCCCCGGGGGGGGGGGGGAGCTGGGATAGCCAAATGCAGTATAAACAAGAAATTCTGCATTAAGTCTCCCGGGCCGCCTTTAGAAGGGGAACGAAACATAGACAACATCAGATTTATTGCGTTGTCAGCTTTCTTCCGTGACAGGCCGCCTCCTCAGGCGCATGGTGCGGTGACACCAGGAAGGCGACCACGTTTCCATCAGTTCCCCGTTTGGGGAGGGAAAAAAATCGGCACAAAAGTTTGGAGGATCTGGGCGGGAAGGGGTTAAGGCCAGTTCGCCGACGTCACAGGAGGAAGGGAGGGGGCGGAGGAGGGGGAGGGGGCTCGCGTCGCCCGTGACGTCAGAGCCCGGGGATTTGGGAGGGGGCGGCGGGAGCAGCTGTGCTTGCGCGCGATGTCATTGCAACCCCTCCCGTCCTTCCCTCCTTGTCCGGGCTCTGCGGGGACTCGCTTCCCCACATCCGAGGAACGGTGCAAGCTTTCGGGACCGCACCGGTCTCTTCATCGGGGCAAGCTGCTAAGGAACAAAGGAAAGCCACATGGGGGTGCGCGGGGGGGTCGTTTTGGGGATGGCAGGAGGCGAAGTGAGAGGCTCGTGGGCTGCTCTGGGTGTTGGAACAGGAGAGCATGGCCGGCGCTCACTTGGGGCTCCCGGGATAATTAGGTTTCACTTCGAATTGTCCCGCCAGATTTGCTGGGAACAGGAAAAGCAGTGACGAGCAAGAAATTCCGGCTGTCGAAATGACGGCTCCACCGCTGTGTTTTAATTCAGATCAGTGCTTTTGCTCGAGGGACTTCAGTTGGCTGTTCTTTCCTTTTTCCTTTTTAACCCTGCCTCCTTGATGCAGTGGCTAGCATTCTTTATTATTTCTTATTATCATTATACAGTATTTTAGTACTCTTCTTACTGGGAAACCCTTGTGAGGTTCAGCAGCCAAAAGGTGTACACTATTTCTCAGTGGCAAGTCATGTTGCCCCGGGGTGCACCTGGAAATGGAAAATTTCTGAAAACTTCCATTTTTTTTCTGGGAGAATTTTTTCCCCTGAAAAAAATGTATTTTTTTGAAATTGTACATGTCTAGGTGCACCACAAGGAAGCTAGACTGCATGGCATCCCAAATATTCACTTTTCTCATTGCGTGTTTTTTAGATCTCATAGAATTTCTTTTAAAAGTTTGGCAATATGTACATATTTTATATTGTCTTTGCAAAGTCCTGCGCCATAAGGTGTATCTTGCTATGCCCTATGAAACAAACAAATAAATGATAGTTTAAAATATTTTTACCCCCTCTTTCTCATTACCCACCCCACCCTGGCAGGGCAGGGTTGGCAAAAGGGTGGAAGCAAGATCGTATCACGGCCGGCCGGATGGCCAGCCAGGGAACCGGCTGGCCTCAACATCTGGCTTCTGTCCTAGGGGGCCCACACCCAGGGTTTGAAGCATGGAAAATCCGTGGCGCCTGCTTTTGCTCGCCGGCCGGCCAGCCGGCTGAGAGAGAGAGAGATGGAAAACAGGAGGGTGCCAGGCGGAGAGATAGAGGCCGGGAGAAAGGCGAAGAAGTAGGTCCTAGAGCAAGTGAGGCCTGAGCTACATCTGGAGGCAAAAATAAAAAAAATGTTGAAACTGAGGCTGTCCACCTTTGGGCCCATCCCGAGAAAGCAGGATTCTCTGGAAAAAGACCATCCTGCCAGGAAAGGCAGAAGGCAACAGGGAAAGAGGAAGACTGAAGACAAGATGGGCTGACTCCCTCAAGCAAGCCATGGGTTTGCTTGCGGAGGACAGGACTTTTCGGAGGTGGCTCATTTGTAGGGCGGCCAAGAGTCAGAGGCCACCAGGTGGCTGGGACAGCACCAAAGGAAGCAAGAGAGAGTGCTGGAAGAGGAGACCCCCAGGTCAGGGGAATGCACGGGACGTTTGGGAGATCACTCATTCATGGAGTGGCCGTAAATTGGATGCAGATGGATGGCCCATAACAACAACAACAGGGTTCACTTTGCTGCCCTGTGAAAGCACAGGAGGTAAAGCTTTGGCGGGATCCGGAAAGAGATCCATAAGTATTTTCCCACAGCAGTGGCAGAAACCCTCTAATCCTCCAAAGGCAGAAGGCAAGGATTGCTCAAGAGAGAGGGTGAGGCTGGCAGATCTCTGGGTGGACTGTCTTTTCTCCATAAATCCGCGGATCCTTGTTTTTCTTTTTCTTTTTTCCTTTTGATTTTGAGCAAATCAAGGGCTCGCGTTTCTCCCCATCTGGAAGGGGCCTGTGAGGAGGGGCCGATCCTGCCCCTACAGCATGTGGCATTGTGTTTACCTCTTGTTTTAAAAACCCGGCTCACGTGGGCTTCAACTGGGCCTCCGGGGGTGCCAAAACCACGGGAGGCGGTGGCGAGAAAAACAACCCAGAGAGGAGGAGAAGCCCATTAAGACCGAGGAAGTCCTAAAATGAGACTTCCCAAGCTCCACCCTCGCTCGGGAGAAAACACCACCAACCTCATAATTATAGAGCCACGACGGGTTTGACAGCTGGGCCAACAGGTTCAGACTTTCCATGCGGATGAAAATGCTCTTTTTTTTTTGTGCTGGGGATTCAGTGGTTCCCTTCTTCTACAAACATGGAGGTCTATCAGATTATGATTTTATTTTTTGGCTTTGTTTTGTGACACAAGGGATGCTCTCTGCACATGCTCAGAGGCTCCAGGCCTTCGTGATTGCTATGCCCCTGGCAGGCAGACAGGAATACTCTAACAGAGTGAACAGTTTACATATCCTTAAAAGGACTATAAAACTGGGAGGGAGAAATAACCAAGAGAAATTACCATCCGAAAAGCAGCTCAGTTACCCTTAAGATGACTAAAAAAAAATCGTTAAACCCAAACAGATGTTACCCGGGACTGCTAGAAGGACAAACAAGTGGGTCCTCAATCAAATCAAGCCTGAACTCTCTCTGGAGGCAAAAATAATGAAGCTGAGGCTGTCCGACTTCAGGCACATCATGAGAAGGCAGGATTCTCAAGAAAAGCTCCTAATGATGGGAAAGGTGGAAGGCAGCAGAACAAGAGGAAGCCCCCAATGCAAGATGGCCTGACTCCCTAGAGGAAACCACAACCTTTGAGTTTGCAAGGGCTGAGCAAGGCTGTTGAGGAGAGAGCTTTTTGGAAGTTGCTCGTTCATAGGATTGCCACAAGTTGGAGGCAACTAGGGTGGGACAGTGCAAAACAAAACAAGAGATAGTGCTGGAAGATGAGACATTCAGGGTGGGAAAAAGCAAAGGGTACTTGGGAGGTCAACTCATTCACCGGTCCTTCCAATGCGTGCCCAACGCGTTTCTAGTCTTCATGCATTGCATCAGTACATTTACTAATATTTCAAACTCATCCACAGACAGCAGACCACGTCCACCCTTTGACTGATGTCACAACATTGTGGGATTCCAGGTATATTTTTGTTTCCAGAATATGTCAGGTCAGGGTCCTGCTGCTTTCGCCTTTCTCACCTGATCAATCCCCCTCGGCTCCAAAGAGCCACGTCAGATCAACACTTGACTCATTGTGGTGAAAACGTGTTCCCGGGACAGCCAGCCAGCTATTCTTAGCCGTCGTCTCTGGAATGCGGCCCAGGCATGCCCTGGGCTCACCACATAGACACCTGTCCCCAGGGTTAAATATATATTTTATCTACATATGCATTTATATATCTTGATGTGCCTCCATATATGTCTAAACATATGCACACACATATATGTCCACGAGAAGCCAGAGGAGAACCTGTATGTGCCTGCCGGGCTTTCTGAACCATGTGTTTCTACATCACAGGCCAAAGTCTCTGGAAATTTGGCTTCTGTATCTCTCCGAGCGGGAACATGAATATAGGGATATAGATACAGATGGAGGGATAGACAGATAGATTTTAGAGACAGATCTACATAAAAAGAACCAGCAAGGGATTCTAATGGGTTGCTTCTAGCTGCCGAATCCCACAGGATTCATTTTGCAAAGGAATTTTTCCGTAGGATTTTGCGGGTCTCCTTTTTGGAAGACAGCGGGACAGAAATAAAAGGATACAGCGCACAGGTTGTGAAAATGGCCCGATGCTGGGTTTGGGGACAGTGCTCCGTTCCACAAACACATCGCAAGAATGATTTTGTTCTGGGTGAATGTTTCTCCTTTGTTTCCAGGGGGAGACCCAAGCAGCTTTTAAAACCGGCTTCAAGACAGCTGCAAAGAGGTTAATTCCTGGTGGGGTAGCTTCTGCCTTCACGAGAAAGCCTAACTCATTCAGAGTCTGAACGACTTCCTCCCCAGGAGGGGGTGGATGCCCACAACCCACCCAGAGGGGAAAAGATCTGGGGGGGGAAACACCTCCAAATGCAAATAGAGGAGGAGGTGGGGGGGAAAGGTGTGAGCCAGGGATATTTTTAGCTGCTGAGCCCAGGCCTTGAAGCATGTGGGCTGCTGATACTGCACCTCCTCCTTGTGAGCAGCTATTCTAGGCGAGGAGAGAGTGAGTCACTTCGGTCTAGGGCAGAACGGAGCCATGCCCTTCCCCAGCCGGTGGCCCCAGGTGTGGGCACCCCGGCTGCCCACACAGGAGGTGGAAGGGGCAACTGGGATGGCAGAGGGAAGGGATCAGCCGGGATGGGGATTGCACCAGGCTGCCGGGAAGCGCCAACCAACAGGTTGGCACAGGCTACAGTGACAAGCTCAGAAACCAACCAAAGGGTTAGATGGGGAATAAGGGAGAAAGAATATTGGCCGAGACCCCGCAGCCAAGGAAACTTCACATATTTCTTTTCAGCTTTAAAAAAACCCCAGAGAAACAGGGGAAGCCATCCTTCCCAGCCACAACACAGGTATGCACTTCCTAAAGCAACTGTCTTTTTTTTTTTTTTTTGGATCATCCCCTGGCCATGCTGGGAGGTGGGTACTGGGGATTGTAGTCCCAGAGAGTTGGGTTTTTTTCTAGTTCTGAGCACAAAACGGAAGTGCTAAAGCAAACCTCCAAAAATTTAAGAGGATTATGACACCTCCCTGGAAACAGCACCAAGGTCCAAGCGCTCCTGCCATCCGTGGGTCAGGGAGGAAATCTATTGCTTCCGCGCCCTTCCCCTTTCCGAAAGTTTACCACCCCAAAGCTTCACCAGCAACACATTACAATATGGACCTCCTGGGATTTCGAAGGTGGCCGCCCTGGTCTCTTTTGGCAACGTCCGCCTTTGAGAGTGTCAGAAGATCGACCGGCCAAGGGTGCAGAGCAGCCACCTCGCAGGCCCATCGGGAAGAAAGGCACCCCGCAGGCCCACCTTGCGCTTGCTGAAGGCAGGGTGTAAACAAAATGAAGAAATGAGCCCCGGGAGGAGGCCTGCCAACCCATTGCAAGACTTCTGCCAGGCTGCAGAATCACTCTGCTTAACTCGGTTTATCTCCTTCCTCTTTGGCTGGCCAAAGAAACTCTGGTTGCCAAAAAAAAAAGAAAAAAAGAAAAAAAAAGAGATAGATAAAAAATAAAGCTAATTTCAGCTGTCACTCAAACAGCTCCAAAATCCACTGCTTTTGAGCCCCAAGCAGAGAATGGAAGGACTTTGCTAGGTTTTGAGATGCCCTTTTCAAAGGGAACACCTGCCAACCTGAGCATCGTGTTCTAGAGTTCTCACGGAAGAAATGAGAAAACTTGGGGGGGGGCAGACCTGGGGGCGAGTGGTAGACGTGTGTCCTTCTGATGAGGTGGGATTTTGACTCCCTAACTCTGAACTTTGATCTCCAACACAGGGCCACCCTCCGGGATGACCACAGGCTTTCCCCACCTGGATGCTCCAGAGGCACTTGAAAAACAAAACCCATCACCCCAAGAAATCGAGAGCAAAGATAAAATAGATACATATGTTTAGAAAACATCTCAGTGGATTCAATGTTAGCCAAGGTTTCTTAGGTCACGCCAATAAAATGTTAAAAACGCCATGGCGGTGTTGTCTCTACTGTATCTCCCAGTGGTATTTCCTAACTAACTAGAGCCACCTCACCTTGGTGAGAGACCCACATCACCATGTTGTTCCTGCTTGTTGGCCTGGTCTAAACGAGAGGAAGAAGGAACCGCTGGCTGATTACAAGAAAAAAGGGGTTTATTTCCAGTGCAAAGTGAACTCCTGCAGGCCAAGGAGACTCCGAACCCTGGGCATGAAAGAAAAGGAGTGGATTTAGAGACATGCCCGTTCAGAAAAAGGTCACAGCCTTACTCTTCCAGAGATCTCGTTTAAACAATACAAAAACATGGAGCCAAAGCACGACTGTTGTTGTTATTTAATTCCTCTTTTTTTTTGGAACAGTGAGGGTGGGGGCAAAACATCTGGCACAGATCCCAGCTGCCAAGACTGGGGAGTCTGGCATTGGCTTCTTCCACAAATCCACCACGCAAGCCCTCCCTTTCTCGTGAGAGGATTCGGTTTTAAAAGAAAAAGTCAGTCCATCTGAAAGAGTCCAGCCCTCGTGACCGAACCGAGGAGAGGTGCTGCTCATCTGTCCTGACGTTTTGTCGAGGCATCCTCCGCACCCAGCGAGCAGGGCGAAGCGCAGCCCCCCCCAAAGGACACCCAGAAGGTCCTTCAGGGTTTGTCCCAGCCAGAGTGAAACTGTCTACACTAAAGAATGAGCGGATACCCCAACTCTCGTGTCTAAACTCCGGCTTTGCATTCAAAATGAAACGAAACATAACCAATAAAAAAAAATACTACAACAACCAAAAAGAGGGCACAATTTAAAGTTTCTTTCATGGTACTGGAGACCCAGCTTCTCCCAGGGATGTGGTTTTTGAGTCTGAGGGTTTCTCCTGGGCGTCTTGGGGCTCTCACTGCTTGGCGGCTTGCCTCCCGGGCTTCTTCTCCGGCTGCCCTCGGTTGCCCCCTGCGATGCCCCGGCCCCGGCCCCCGAACACGCCTGAGGAGAGAAAAGCAGGGCAGGTTTTGAGCAGGACCCTTGGCTAAACCGAAGCTCTGGCCAATCTATCACACAGCACCACTGAAAAGGATCCAGTCCCACCAAGTTTCCCCGAGGCTGGCAGAGGCTAGCGGGATATTTCTGCGAAGCTTATCCCCAAACCATGAGGGTTCTGGCTGTGGAATGGTCCATATTCTTTTGGAGAGTTAAAAACAGGCACCAAGCCTTTTTGATTCCATTTCCTCCCAGCAATTTCTGGATGTCTAGTAGGAAATGCTCTCTAGGCAACACACAGATTGACTGCTGGGGGATGTGGAGGCTCCCCTTTTAGGTTTCCACTGCCCAGAGGCTTTGCTTCTGCAGGTTATTAAGGCATCTTGCCTGTGAAAGAAGGGTGGGAAAGGCAGCAGAATCACAAGGCCCTGAAATGAAACAGGGGTGGAGACCAACAGGAGAACCCCCCCTTCACCCCTTGCCTGTAAGCTTCCCCCCACCGCAACTCAGCAAAGATGGAGACAGAAGGCAAGGTGAGGCAGGCACACCTTTTCATCCAGACAGGTAAAAAAATCTTGTGCTTGTAGGCCATCTTACTCCCAAAAGGACTAGTCAAACACGTTAGTTTGCTTTTCTTTCTTTTCTTTTTTAAAGAGCGCTCTAAACTTCTTTAAAATGAGCTGTCCTCCCAGTATTATGATAGGTTCCCATGTTTCCTCCACGGTTACATCTTACTGGAATTTTAATGGCCTCTGTTTTTGTCTAATCGTTTGGAAACCACCTCGGGGAAAAATTAAAGGCAGCATAGAAATGAGGTTAATAAAGAAATAAATATTGCACACCTTCCCTTGGTGACAGCCATGTATTCGAAAAGCTTACCAAGCCGGCTTTTCAGCAGCGGTCCTTTTAACATCTTCAGAAAGCCAAGTTGAGGCCTTCCAAGTTAATTAGCCAGTATATGTAAGCATTGTCTGTTAAGTAGCTCTCAAGCTCATTAAATCAAGATGGCAAACCAGCAGGGAAGAGGGCCTGCTACCTGCGAACTCGGATGGTTCTTAACTATGGCTCCTCAGGTCCAGCCCCCATCAAGGAAGCACAGCGGATGAATCGAACCCTCAACCTCCGGCCAAAACTATGGAGCTATCTGGCTGGTTATTTAGGGAGGGAGCTTGGTTAAGCTGTGCCATTGAGCTATCCTGGGATGAAGGGATCAAGCTGACAAACCGTGTAAAAGGGATATATCATAATCTGCAACCCCTTTATATATAATCTGCAATAATAGCAATGACAAGATTCGAAACTCTGTTTAAAAAAAGGGGGGGGATGGGTGGGAGTTGAAAACCAATTATGAACGCCAATAAAAAATACATATATAACTCAAGCCAGATGGTAGAACAGGCCTGGCGACTGATCAAAAAGCCAGCAGGGACGAGTTAGCCCGACTTCCCTCGGGAGGGAGTTCTAAAATCTGGGCACAACAACAGAGGAAGCCTCGTCTTGAGCCGTTGCCAACTCAGCTTCTTTGGGGGGGGGTTGCATTAAAACTGGGCCTGTTTGCTGTTATTTCTGATTTAATCCCCTTATGCGGCTGAAGATTTCAGATTTCAGGCAGGGTTTTGGCGGCCCCACACCCATCCCTCCTAAACTGTGGTATGTCACGCCGGGGAAGCTCAAGACCTACCGGCCGGCGTCGAATGGGGAACCCCCCATCCCAACACCTTCCCGCTCCCAGTGTACAGAGCCCCCCCAAAGGCCTGGCCGTACCCCGCCCAGTGCCACCAACGCCCCGGCCCTTCTGCTGCTTCTGCTGCTGCATCCCACCGCGGCCTCGGCCCTTAGTCACCACTTCCTCCTTCACCATGTCGATGATCTCGTCCGGGATTCGCAAGTATTTGATGGTGCTGCCGCGGATGTAACACTCCGGCATCCTCCAGAACTTGTCTCCATCCTGCCCCAAGTGGAGAGAGAGAGAAAGAGGAAAGAATCAGGCAGCTGAGCAAGCTAAGTTACTAGTCCACATGAACACTGAACAGGCACCACGAAGGGATCCACCCTGGAAAGACGACTGGGATTTCAGATTTGGCAACTGTACCGGTGACGGCGCTCAAGGGACTAGCTGCCGTCTTGCAAACGGGTTTAGCAAGTGACGTAAAATGAGACCAGCCAGGATGCCCTCCCTCCCCCTACCGAAAACCACTTTTTGGAAAGTTTCGGGAACGCTTGGAATAGTTCGTTTCTGACAAGCCCCGCTGTTCTGATTCACCGATTCCGCTCTTTGTGAGAACATGATAAAACCAACACGGTTCAAAACCGGACAAAAAACAGGACTTTACAAAGAGCTGTGAACCAAAGCAGCAGGTTCAAACGACCCAGGAGAGCAACGAAATAAATAGATAAGAAATTCAAGGTTCCTTGAAAGCAACTAGCCTGCCTGCAGAGTATTCCAGTACGTTTATGTGCCAGAAATTTTAGCAAGTCAGACTAACTTCCTATACTCAGGGAGCCACTACTAGTTTCTTATGAAAACTGGGTTAAACCATGTAAATATTTGCCCCTTAAAATTATAGGGAGAGGGAAGAGGAAAACCCTTTCCTGTATGGTTTCGGCGCCTTATCGGTGCCATTTGATGATGCCTCTTGTCTTGAACCTCTCATTCTGAATCAATTCATTACAAGCAGGCTGGAATACCAGAAGGGGTTTGGTCTCCTTTGGAAAAGGCGAACAAAGGGACCCAATCAGAAAGCTCGCCCTTAACTTCCGTCCAGGTCTTGCCTTCAGGAAATAGCTGGGCCTCTCCAGGAAGAAGCCCACCAGCGCCACCTCGTGGGCGACAGGCAAACAGCAAGTGTAGTAAATTAAACTCAAGCCACCCTTTCCTGAGGTCTCCCTCCATCTATCCTTGGCCATTGTGAATCCGGCCCCAGAAGCAGGGCGGATCGAGCTTACCCTGGAGGTACAGATGACTTCCCGAAGGTTGATGTTCATCCAGTTGTCGCAGCTGACTAAGTGGCCGTTGTAAGTTTCCCCATTTTTCAGCTCCACCAGCTGGAACAACAAGACCAAGCTGTCGGTGGGGGAATGGGGGGCTAGAGGCGTTCAAGGGAAAACTGGACAACCACCTGTTGAGGTCTGCTTGGATTTAGGTTCCTGTATTGAGTGCGGGTTGGACTCGAGGGCCTTAGGGGTCCCTTCCAACTCCATGATTCTAGGATTCTATGCAGGCCCAGATGTTCACATTCCTCCCCCCCCCTTGTATCATTCTTATTAGACTGCAAAACTGCATCCAGGAAGCACCCTCTAAGGCTTGGGCAATTGAACTGCAGAATCACAGAATTGCAGAACCATAGAATCCCAGGAGGATGGCATCGGAAGAGGGGCCTAGAAAGTCCTCGAGTCCAACCCCTTGCTCGACACTTTTATTGGATCACCCAAAAATTACCAATATGTGTAGTTTTGGAGTTCTTTAGAACTGTTCCCTGGGCAAAGAGAGTGGGAGTTAAGACAAGCAATCCCAAACTCCGGGCCCGATGTGAGGCCCTCGGCTCATGAAGCCGGACAGCCCCAGAAACCCAACAGGATACTGGTTTTTGTCTGGTGACATGGCGGCGCTGCGGGTTAAACCGCAGAAGCCTCTGTGCTGCAAGGTCAGAAGACCAGCAGTCGTAAGATCGAATCCACGCTCCTGCCAACCTAGCAGTTCGAAAGCATGTAAAATGCGAGTAGATAAATAGGTACCACCTCGGTGGGAAGGTAACGGCATTCCATGTCTAGTCATGCTGACCACGTGACCACGGAAACTGTCTACGGACAAATGCTGGCTCTACGGCTTGGAGATGGCGATGAGCGCCACACCCTAGAGTTGGACACAACTGGACTAAATGTCAAGAGGAACCTTTACCTTGCCTGGTGAATAATTCTGGAGGACTAGAAAGCTTGTCTTCTTTCCAGTTCCCTAAGTGAACCCACCAAGGTCTTGCCCAAACTCAGACTGTGTTGAAACAGCTATATTTTGCAGGGACACCCAGGAAAGGTTTTAACTTTTAGCAGGTGCACAGAATATAGGAAGCTCAGAGCCCTTCTCCAGTGTTAAGTAACCAGAATACCACCCTGGGCTCCTCATCACTCCCTTTTGAACAACAAAAATCCTTTGTCTTCAGATAAATACTGTAATATCCTGAGGATGTTATGAAAACAGGTTCATCCCCAAGAACTGGCACTGTATTAGGTTTTGGAGAGAAGTTACCGCCGCCACTTGTCACTCACCATAGGGTGGTTCTGAGCCGTCTTCAGCAAGGAGAGTGGAAGCTGAAAGAGGAAGCCAACACAAGGAGCTGCTTCAGAAACGTGCCAGATACCATAAATAAACTTTCACAACAAAAGCAACCACAACGGTTCACGGACAGCTGTGGATCACCTGCATTTCCTGGGTTTTACTCTCATAATAAGCTTTTCCGGATCAACCACAGCGAGGCCTTACTCATGAGTCATGCAGCTTGGTGCTGTCTGGCTTTAAAATCCATCTATTTTTGGGGGTGGGGAGTTACCTTTTTTGGGGGGACTACAACACCCAGAATGCCCCAGTTAGCAAAGCTTAGTATTGTCTGAGGGAAAAATCCATCTATTTGAGAGAAAGTTACCTTTTTTTATTCTGGCGTTCCTGTCCTCCCCCCCCAAGTATTCTGGGCTTTGTAGTCCTTTTTGAAAAAGGATTCTGGGCATTGTAGTCCCCAAAACCAAGGATTCTGGGTGTTGTAGTAAAAAAGGACAAGTTTCCCAAGCTCTGATTCAGCCTTGCTTGCCATGGCCCCGATCCTTGGCAAGCAAGGGACACCGTTACCCAGGAGTAAGCCCATTGTGTTCAATGCAACACCCCCACCCGCCCAGTAAACCTGCGCCCAGGACTGGGTGGCAGGCTAAGGCCGCTACCCTTCCACCCCCCCAGTGTCCCCCCCCTCCAGGAGGGCTTCCTGACGAGTCAGGACTCCCTGCCCCGTCGCTTACCATCCTTCTGGCTCAAAGCGCCACCACAACGCGCCGTCCTTCTCACGACTTCCGCTTCCGCCTGCCCGACTTCCGCCCGGTGAAGGCTTTCGACTCAGCCCGCCAGCCAGTCAGCGTCCTCCTCAGCTCGTCCAATGGGAGGCCCCCGCCGCGGCCGTAAAGCAGAGGACGGCGGTGGGTGTCGTAAATACCGGCGTAAAGAGTCCGGAAGCCGACTGAAGGATCAGGAATTCATTGCTTGTAACGAGTTACTGTGGGAGTTTTTGCAACCACGCCGATTGCAGATAATAAAAATTGCAGATGATAGTGAACTCTATGCATAGCATCATCTTTGGTTCGCTCTAATGGTCAGTTCTGGTAATTATATCGTGAATATGTGTACATTATTTGGGGTATTTTCACTTCATGCTCGCTTTCCTCCTTTTCTTCCTCCCGACGGTGGGCGGGGCCTGGCTTAAGAACACTCAGGCGGGAGGTGGTGGACGCTCTAGGCCTCTATTGCTTTCCTTTCGTTCTCCTCCGGCCCAGGATGGGCGGGGCTTAGACCTTGCCGCCACGCCCCTCCCCTCAGTGGGCGGGGTTGCGGGCGCTCCGCGGGCCGGAGCGCCACCCGCTCAGTCAGTTCAGT